AGATAGTGTGCATGCCGTTCCTGATTATATGCAAAAAAACAACTGTAGCCATGCTAGCCAATTTAGTGTACAATGGTACAAGAAATGAAATCTTGAAAGAATATGACTAGTCAAGAAAGACGTTCTTAACTTAAATGACAAACTTAATAATTCAACATAATAATTTGCAACACAGCTCTTAAAGTTATAGTAAATGCTATTCTTAAAAAAACAAGTTTACACCAACAACTACCAGGTAATAAATGCAGAGTCAATCTTTAGAATAAAATCATCATTTATCCATTCAATTAACATACAGTACCAACCATCACCACTGGCAATAGATAACAGCACAAGCAGTTAAAACAGAAACAAAGCCTTTATTTTCAGTGACACAATAACTCTAAAAGAATGCCCACTTTGGGTTGATTAGCCTTCCCTTCCATTTGCCAGTACAATAATATTTAGCAGGCGACATTTACTGAATATAGATCGAAGACAAATATTGCTGTTCCAGCTTTAGTAATGCACTGGGAGCAGAACTGCTTTGAGGACAGCATGTAAGATTCAGGTGAAAAATTACACATGTCATAAAAAGCCTTTCTTCCTAAATGTCATTCTTTGGACTGGACTGGACTTCAAAACAAGCACTTGGCATTATTGTATGTTGTCTTTGTTGCTGTGCTGTAAATAAGAGTGGTAGAGATTTGTATAAGGCAGGTGAGAGCCAGGATGTCTGTCAGATAGCCTTTATCTGTGTTCTGATCTTCTCTGCACATGATGGTGATGGTGATCAGCTGTGATAACAGCAGCCACTGTCAGATACAGTAGAAAAGAATAAAGAAGCTCCTTTTGAGAAGTAAAGATAGCCAGGTAAGGGAAGCAAAGCAGACTTGAGAATGTTGGTTTTACAATACTTGTTTATCTGAACCATATGTTGTTAGTGGAATGAAAATTTGCTGAACCCAGCTATAAATACACCTCTGAAATAAGTCAGGATTTCCAGCCATAACCACAGATTCCAGATAAAGTAAGCTTTTACATCTTTCACTACGCTGTAGCTCAGCACTGTCTTCTTCTTAATAAAAATGCCAAAGTAAATGCAGTGTCCTCATGCTACATTCCATGTACAGTATAATCTAAAACTTACTTTCACCATTCAGCTTTAATTGAACAAACATTGTCATTGTACAGTATATTTCTTGGTAAAAAACAAATTAGCATAGAGATTACTACTGTATTGTTTAAGGGTTTTAATCATTGCGTTTACATTAAATGGATTAATCAAACCATATGGGTGACACACTTAACCAGTTAATCACACCAATTTACTAGGATATGCAATTGTAAGCTTGTTAGTTTTTGTTAAATACAGTGCAAATGTCTAATGTTTACCAAGTGTGTGTCACTTTCTATTTACGCACCCCTTTCCAAAAAACAGAAAGAAGGAAACTTGTAGCATGCAATTCTGTTGTTAAACACATTTGGCACTGCTTCTGATAATTAAGAATGTAATTGTTCTCTTTCATCCCCTGTCTCTAATAGTTATGTGAAGGCACAGAATTAGAAGAAAGTGGGAAGGAACAACATTCATATGATACATATAATAATGAGACTAGAACAAAGTAACCCAATCAAAGCATCTTTTAGGAGGTAAATATATTTGAGTATGTTAACCATTTGACAGAATGGGATAAACTTGTGAAAAAGCTAAGAAAAGCTAAATCTTTCAGGTTGTAGACTTTTTCCTTCATCTCCTTCCAATGCTAAAATTTAGGATATTTCTCTGTGATACATTTACAGCTGTCCTTCCAAACTGATCTCTGTTACCCATGTAGATTTGTTTTTCACACAATGCATTTTTGCTACAGAGCACGGGTAAATTAATCAATAACTCTTTTAATCAATCAATGACCACAGGCATGATTGATTAAAACCCCCTACTTATTATACATGAATGATAAAAGCTAATCATACTGTATATCACACACACATATATATATATAGTCAGTTATAGCTTGTGTATTGAGATTAACCACATATTGAAAAAGTGGTATGAAATGCATAGAACATCATCATTTTTTTAAAATTCATAATCTGTGGTTATTTATTTATGTCCATCCCATCTGGAATTTCTAATTAACATTTGGCTTATGGCTATAGCTCCTGTGCTGCATAGGGAGAATAAAGACCTGCAGACAGGCTCCACTGACACTCCCACCTGTCAGAGTCATTCATCTTTTGACATGCTACAGGCTGCACTGTGCCTTATAAGACACAAGAAGCAGGAGCCATGTTTTATACCAATATCGATGCAAGCTTACAGACAGTCAATTTTTCACCCAATATAATGAGGGTCCTAGCCAACCAATGCCCAGATTATGCTCCGTCAATTGTGAACCACTGCTTGGGACATCCCAGTCATAGTTTGCTAGTGACACAAGAAAAGCTCACCCGAGAATACTGAGCTCAACCTGCACCTAATCAAGTAGCTTTACTAGATGAGCACACTCAGAACCCTCTTCTATTAAATATTCAATACAAGGTATACATTCTGGTTTACAAATGAATGGAATATGGAGGCTTCAGGTTGATAAAGAAGGATCTCGGTCTTTCCTCTATAATCAAATTGCCTTAAGGAAGTTCCTCCCTCATAAAATAACAAAAACAGCAACACTGCCTTATAATCACACCAAAACAAAAATAAAACTGAATATAAAACAAATTAAATCCGAAAAAGACTTTGTTTGTTTTGTGGCAAATCCTTCTAACAGTTACTTGAACACCACATTCTTTAAAATTCCCATTCCATTGAAAGTTACTTTGATAATACAGCTGTTTTATATCTTAGGGATGTGAATGTTGAAAACAGCAAATGAAAGTACCCTCAGCCCTGTAGCTGTAAACCAAATTGCAGACTGCTGTCCCTTTAGCAGCCCAGTGATCAATTGCTGGCTCTGGTTCCAGCATCGTCATAGCCACATAGCCGGCTGACTCTGGGGGATGTCAAGAAACACAGCAGCTGCAACTTAAATGTGAAAAATATGACATTGAGTAGTTTTGCTTACATAAAATACTGCTGCAATAGTTTCTATATTAATTTTTAATGCACAGTACCTTCCTGACCCCGTTTCTCCCCCAGCCATCAATACAGCAGCTGAGAAAAAACTAAACAAGTTGACAGCGAGAATGCAGCAGCAGTCTACCGTGCTGAGATGATATCTCTGGTGCTTTAATATACTATATATTCATATATACATAGTATTAAATAATCCCAGCCAAAATGCAGAAAGTGAAGGGTAATGTCATAAGTGGCATTTACTCTTTCTCTGCAGTTATGCACGACCGTTGCCATAGAGCTCTCATAAGCTTTCAGAATAAAAATTGTCACAATGGTCAACTCAGGTCTGTAGAAAAGCCGACTTTTTCTTGACATGTTTCCTCTTGTTAATAATGCAAATCTCTTCTGGAGCAATGTTATCGATGTATTTGAAATCCAAGGAGAAAAAGAAAGTCAATGGCCTACAGAAAAAACCCACATAATTTGCAAAATTAAGGATAATAAACCTTTCTTGAATAAATGACAATATCTTAACCAGCTGTTTCTAACATGATAGCACTGGAAGAAAAATGGTCAATATAGTAAACAAACAATGCTGTCTTTTTGCTAGAGGCAAACCAATGAGACATCAGTGTGCAGCACTTGGGACACATTTTTTATGCATTTCCTAATGAAAATCTACAGTACCTTTCATGAAACAAGCATTAAAGATCTCGGGCAAAATGTGTTTCAATTTGTTTTATCAGCACTAGCCCATATACTTTGGGGTTTCTATCTCATTTTAAGTGAAGAAATCTCTTGCTGTTAATAATTTATGAACTGAAAACAAATTTACGCCTCTGGAGTAAAATCAAACTTTCTATTCCTAACAGTAATATGCAGCAACAGACATCTGTATGATGAGTATATCAAGATTAATTTTAGGAAAAATTATTGTTTTCATCAACGGCAAACATTTCCTGTTTTCCCTAACAGATTTTATTGTTTGGAATTCAGAACCCAGAGTTGGTAGTTAGCAAAGAAAAATAAACCAACTCTTGCTCAGATAATATCTTACTGATAAATACAGCTTTGACAGAAGAAGTCTGTCATCCATGGTGATAAATTTCTTTTGGTTACAGCCTTATTTTTAAACCACCATGCTAAAGGCCTAAAAACCTTAGATTTTTCATAATACAGATAATACATTTAGAATTTCATAAAAGTTCATAGTGTAAATGCCTTATCATAAAGAAATCAGAATACCAATTTTCCTAAGAAAAAGCTATCATTAATAATACAATTTCATCACTTCTTCTATTGTTGATCTTTATATTGCAAACAGAGAAAACAGCAGTAAAAGCAGACCATTTTATCAGTTGAAAGACATGCTAAACTGGATAGTCAGAAACAGTGCTTTATGAGGTGTGACACTAACTGAAATAAGAAGTTGTAGTAAAACGTTATTTTTTTTATTAATCTAGAGGGCTTCTACACAAAAAAGAGACTAATTAGTAGTTTTATACAATCAGCATAAAAAAGTTCAGAACTTGCTTACGTTACTGAAAGCACAATTTATTTCAACCTTACAGTAACATTCAAATAAATTAAAGGCTTGTTTGTTTTTCAAATGACCCGTTGCATAACCGTTCATGTTCACTTGTATTTTAAGAATCTGGGACAAATTTTTTTAAAAAAAAGGAAAAACAGGGCTGTAAAGCACGTACGGGAGCAACAGAAAGGAATTTGTTTCTTGCTGCTTCAGTGATGTTTTCTTTCACCTATGTGAAAAAGAGGGCATTACTAGTGCTTTCACACTCAATCTGCTCCATCTGTCATTACTATTAGAAGCACTGACCAGTGCTGCATTGCAAAGCCTGAACATTACTGGAGACATGCTAGCTCAGCCGGCTACATGGACCTCCTGGTGTGTTATACCGCCTCAGAGGGAAGAGTGTGCAGTGAGGAGGGTAACACCTACCAGACACTCCGCCATATGTGGTCCGTTTCCCTCCTCCAACGGCAGGCCAGGGTGTGCCGTCTGCTCGCAGTCCCATCAGCCCCGAGACGGTGTTGGTTGCTGTAACGCCATCTGCACCACCTGCGTGGCAGTTATTAGTGGTTAGCCGGGGAAATGAGGTGCCAAACTCCCAAAACACACCCTCCCAAATGTAATGGCCAGTGATTCTTCGACACTAATGAGGAACAGCCGCAAACCAACAGCTTGCAAAAGTCTTACTTTTTCCTTATCATTATCTAAAAAAAAACAGTAATACTTGGTTTCTTTTTATTAATTAAAAATGTGGGTTTTAAGCTTCTGCTTTTTTAATGATGGGGAAATACATACTGTACTGTATTTACTCACATGATGGCGATGGGTTTATTAAAGGGGACTGTACTGTAGCTACCACTGGGTTTTGAAAGAAACAAATGCTTAAATCAATTTGCTTTGTAGTTTTTTAGAACAGTTGATGTGCGCTTTGCTAAAACAAAATCACTGGAAGTCCATATTTGACTTCCAGTAAGACTAATTTGGGAGCATATTGGTATTTCTATTGCTAGGTTTTATTACTGTCTCTTCTAAATTTCATCTCATTATCAGTAAAACATTCCAAATTGCTCACACTTATGCACAGTATAAAATAGTTACATGCTGTAGTTACATAAAGGCCACTGGATTGTTGTATGTATACACACAAGTGTAAATTAATTCTCATTTATATTAAAATTATCATAAATATGTAATAAGGAATAATGTACTGTTACATTGTACAGTATTTGTACAATGTTACTGTACATTGTACAGTTTTTATTCAGGTCGACTTAAACGGCAATATTTGGATTAATGTGAAACAATAATTGACCCTAAATCCACATTTTTCAAATAAAATGAATCTGTCGTATTAACAATAATTAATGGACTGTTGAGTAGTTTCATTAGAGGACTTCTCTTCCCACCCCACCACTCCATGATCAATAAGGACAAAGTTCTCTCATACCTTCATGAGCAGCCATTGCAATATCCACAATATTGGTGACATTAGGGGTCAGCTTGGCAAAGAACGGGATCTTAACAGCTTGTCGTACCCAGCGACAGATGTTTCGCACCAGCTCTGGATCCTGTTCAAATGGGTCAGTTACAAAACTCAGTGATAAACTAATCTGATAAATCTGTGCATTGAGCAAAGCAGCAGAACTTAATGCTGCCAATCTGTCAGCCCGGCATGGGGCTGAAAAGGCATTCTATTCAGCTTATTACAGAACCTATTAGATTAGATTACTGCAAACTACATCACCAGGAGAATTCCACAGTTTATTTGTTTGCTTTGAGTTTTTGAATCTATTTAATATTAACACTGTATGTTTTTTTGTTATTGTTTTCTACTTCTGGCTCTGTTTTGTAGCATCATTTAGAATCTCAGCAAAAAACACTGCAAGGAATCTCAGCAAAAAACAAACTGCAAGAAAACTCTGTTATGTTGTAATGTTATGTTGTATTTATAAAATCCAAGGTGTGCGCTTTTCCATGTACAGTTAATGTTTTAAAGCAGATTTTATTTCGGTCCTGTTTTCTTTTAATGCCCATAATGTATTCTAAGAATTACATGTAGGTCTAAATTGTGCAATGTCTCATTGCTGCAGTATAAGTTTAAAATACCACATCACTCTACCACTCTCTCTCATTTTTCTGTTGTCTTTCTTGGTAAATGTGCTTCTTTCCTGAAATATCCAATAATTGTTGGCATATATATATCCCCCTGAGCAATAGTTCTGGCACTCCATGGATAAAGAAGTAAGATTTACAAGGCCTATACACATAACAGAGCTGTGAGGTCAGTTACAGTGAAATACAGGGTAAAGGTCACCTTGATTTAAACGCTCTACTTTAAAAACATAAACTAAAATTGATTTGTAAAAATAACTGCTTTGAAAAAAAAAGACTTCAGTGTTTCTTTGTGCATTAAAGATAAAGTGGTTTGATGGTAGTTTTCAAAGACATTTATTGACAAATAAGAGTTGAAAGTTGCGCAGTACTGGAGCCACATACATTGCAATGGTGGAAAATTATATTTTTTTGTAAGAGAAGTGCCAAATATATTCTAAAAGTATTGAGAAGGACAAGAAAGGTTACTTCATTGGAGACTATAAAATTAATTCTATGGATTTTCTGAGATATAATGCACACACTTACAGCAAATGTTACTCTTTGCAATTTGCCATGATTTATTCAAGATTTAAACATAGTTAAGCAAGACTGAAGTGTTGAATGTAATCTTTAAACACCCATTCATATGCCAGAAGATGCAATATTATAACTCCCTCACAGCTTTTGCATTCACTTTATTAAAAATATTTGATGGTAAATATCAAACCTCACAAGACCTGAGAAAGAGTAACTGTTTTAATTTAAACAGTACAACAGCTTGCTAGCTTTTTTTTTTCTTTAATGGCAAAGACAACTATAAATGAACTCTTCATGCTTTTCTTTTGTTAGTGATCAAACTGAGAGAACCCATCATTATATTTTTTTAGAAAACTCAAAGACAGGTCTTGTAGGACTTGCTGTTTAGAATAGAGCACTAACCACTATAAAATGCTTCTGTTCCCAAATAACTATCGGACTAATCATCTTTGGTTCCATATTGTGGACTTTGTGATATAGCATTTGTGAATTAAAAAAAAAGATAGGCTTTTAAAGTTCACAGGCAGGGCTCTGAATCTCTGCATACATATACTGTATATGTATGGAATACATCTAACACCAGTAAAATACGGTCACAACAAAAAAAACCTTTCTGAGCACAGACACAAAAGATTTAATAGTGGTCTCAGGGCTCTGGTGCTAAAGCTCTCTGATGGAACAGTACAGAAAGAAAAAGAACAGTGCAATGAGAAGATATCCACAATGGGAATTTATGTACAAATGTAAGGAATGGGTTGAATCACAGTGCTAAGATTTTAAGCCTACTGTCATTGGTGGAGACATGACTTATTAAGTTTTCAAAGGATCAGAACCCTGGACAGTTACAGAGGCCTCTGAAGCCTGGGAGTCAGCAGTAGTTGCTTGGACAGCAGTACAAGTTAAGGCCGCCGAGATATAGACAAGGAGTCTGGGGGATACCTGAGTTGAAAGGTTTCCAGCTGTCTGCAAGACATCCTCAACACTGGCCCTTTCATGGCACAACAGTAAGTAACATAAATCACAGCATCAAGGTAAAGCAGTAACACTGAGATATAACGATGGAAAAGCCTAACAACAGGCTAAAATTTGAAAATAAATACTTTACAATAATATTATGAGATCATTTCAATTTTTTGGTTCACAAAGTTAGACATGTTTCAAAATATAAGGCAAGCAGCTGTAGTGGTGACAGAATTTGACTTTAAATATTAAAATGGTTTGAGTGCGCAAAAGTGAAATTCCTTTTTACTTCAAAGATAAAGATTAAACAAAATCATGTAACTACCAAGTCTAGTTATCCCTGAGACTCCATGTTAAAAAAATAATGCATATAATCTGCTTTAAAAATAATTTTAAAATGTTTAATTTTAATTTTAATAAAAAAATGTAATTGTTCAATCATTTCATCCATTTTAGCAGAACTAAACAAACACAATCTTGAAGTTAAATGCCTTTTATTACACACAAAAAATGAAAATTAGATTCCCAAGTCAAATCCATGTCTTTTAGCAATTGTTAATTAGAATGTTTTGACTGTCAGAGCTGTGGTTTGGGGAGCATAATTCATGAAAAACACAATTTCTAAAATTAAAAAAAATCAAATCAAATTAGAAACTTTAACTTTAGAGAGTGTTGCTTTATTCACATTACTGGAATCAATATGATTGAACTCCTATACACGAATAGTTATATTTAGGTTTTCCAATACATTGATTGAGGAAATAATTAGTTTAATCTCTGGAACACAAATTAATTCATTTTCCATAACAAAATGACAATTTTAATTAAATGAATACCTTTAAAGTGATATATATAGAGAGAGAATTTACAAGCCATTAAATAATTTTTTCACTTGTTTCCATGAAAACAAAAATGTTTGCTGCTGCTGTTGAGAAAAAGTGGCAAATGGTGTGATTAAATGATATTGCTTCCCTTTAGTTCACACAGAGGTTACCTGCCTGCAGGCATGAGGCTTTGATTAGGTTTATGTCTTACAGGAGAAAATTTAAAGCAAAGGATATAACACTGGTAATTTATGAGCACTGCAGAAAGAAAATAGCTTTGTCTCCTGTTTAGAAGGAAACAATTTTTAGTCCCTGGACTATAATAAATAGTCAGAATAGTAAGAGAGAAAATCATGCTTTTCTTTGCCACCTCAAGCTAGATAAAGCCTTTAAGACTCGTTATTACGCTGCACTGTGTCTTTGCTCTTAACAGCCACCATAATTTTACTCCGTATTTGGTTTATTTATGGCAGTATACTGAAGTGAGCTTTGTAAAGTTTTACCACAATCAACTGCTCTTTCTCTCCGGAAAGAATGCCTTTTTAACCTTCCTTCAGCTACCACCTTAGTAATTGCACTAAAGCTGAGGTACAGTATTCTGTTGTTATTACCATGCTGTAGTTTATGCATTTTAGGCTTTACACTATATACTGTATTGTGTACATCAGTTAAAACATAAAAGACAATGCTATTACTTATTCAGTAAGTAAAGTGATAATATTTTGTTATTCAATTGTATTTTCCAGTTTAAACAGCAATATAATTTGCAGTGATTCAACACCACTACTTTGCCTAAATGATTTTATTTGATAATTTGTCACTTTGGAAGTTAAGAAAAAAAAAAGTTTGCATTAATTTATCTCAGTAATGCTTTTACACACATTCCCTTTCTAATTAATCTCACAAACTGTTAACTAGATTTTTCACAAAACTGCACAAAATACATGAATTTCCAAATGCTACTTCAAACATCCCCTTTTACTTTGCCTACTGTACATACACACAACAGGGGAAGAGTCCAAGAACAGATTCTTTTAGAAGCCACACAAGTGCGGCATTTAATTTTCAGAACACAAAATGTTTGATTTGTAAGACAGTGTTTGCAAACCGCAAAGAGGATTATTTATGGATTATTAAATCCTGTTAAATACTTTGTTGTAATGGGATGTTAAAGCTATGGAATGAAGTGAATTATTCAGACAGTAAAAATAAGTGCTTCACTGGAGTAGAAAGCTGTTAATTCATATTTGCTTATGAACATGCTTGTAAGCTTCTCTGTTTGTCTTTAACATTGATATAAATGTACTCACATAACCCTCTTTTATTTTTTATAGCATAGAATATTTAACAATACAAAGCTGAAACTGTGTGGCTAGTTTATTTGTGCCTGTGAGGTATGGAACATATCAACGCAATGGTGCTGTATTTCTGATGAGACGTGATAGAGATTTAAGTTAAGGTCTTACCTGCCCACAGGCCAGACCCATGCCCCTCTCTCCCATACCATGTGGACAAGATAAGTTTAACTCCAGGGCATCTGCTTCAGAAGCCTGTTAAATATGGAAAATGCAAAACTGTAAAATTATTTTTTGGTTAAAATGCAGCAGGATTTATCTCAAAGTTTGGCCTGTGGGTTATTTTTGCTAGTTTTGTGTACCACAGGAGTTGAGCCATTCTGTAGACATTCATATTCTCAAGATACTTCGAGACAGGTATTTTTAATAACACATCATAGAATACTGCTGGCTGAAAGCACTTTCTCAGCAAAGTCTTCACCAATCATCATAACAAAATTAAAAGAAAAAAAAACAGAATTAAGGTTATGGAAGATTTATTTGGGGTCTATTAAATTCTAGATAGAAATTTATTCCAATGCAGTGTTAAGAATATTTTAAAGCTGCTTCATTAGCGACCACAGCAGATGTTGACGAAATATCTTTGATACTGTTTGTTTTTCCCAGTAAAACTGGACATTTTTATAAAAAAAAAACAAGTATTCAAAGGTATGGACAAAAAGATTTCAGATTTGGAAATTTCTAAATTATGACAATAAAATATACACAAAGCTGAAGGTAGACATTATTCCATTTGGATTACAGTATTTAAAATGTATGGATTTTCAGATGCAACTACTGACAAATTCACAGCAAATCATTATGAAATTAATGAGACATTTACATCTTCTAAAATGTATCTTATAAGACATTTACATCTTCTAAAACTCAGCAAATACAAAAAATACAATTCTCAAAGGCTGTTACTAGAACTAATAGCAACATATCAACATGGTTTAAAAAGCAGAGGGGTTTCTATTTGTGAGCGGTATAATATTTGATAATCAGTCTCAAAGAATAACGGCTAAAAAAGAAGTTAAAATTAGCGAATGGGGGAAATAATTTATTGACTCCGTGTTTAAAAAGATGCTATATATAATGATAGAGTGAGGAGTCTAAAGTGTTTGAGCTGGAAAAGCATTTGACAGGCAATTACATTTCCGAAAGGGCTTTAAAATGCATCAGAAGAGGGATTTAAACAATTACAAAAGCTCTACAAACCTGCCAGAGTTAGTCCAGCCACAGATTTATGATTTTCCTCAAACTGACAGCCATTAGAGAGGAAAAGAATAATAAGCATTTTAGCCTTACAAAGAGCAGAGGAGCAAGTGGCATGATAAAGCCATTTATCATAGTCAGCTTTAAGAGTGGTAGAGCTCATGTCAAGCATGGATTCCGCACAAGATTTCATGGTCAATTAGGCGAATATAGGTACAAAATGGACACAATGCAGAAAGATCGCAAAGCTAATTATCAATAATGTTTAATTTCACCCCTCTCCACTAAGCCCTTTACGTTAAGAATATTTCCTTCAATGTCACAAAAGAAGCAGAGACCTAAAACTGAGTGCTATCATTATGGATCACAATAAGAGCTTTGGTATACTTTGCAAGGCAAAACCCGTTAGATAGTTATTATTGTCAGCTTAGTTTACGAATAAAGGAAGAAAGGGAAAACAAGTCCTGTGCTGTGATGCAAAGTGTGTTGCAGCAGTCACAGATATAGCTTCAGCTCCTGCTCTTGCATGTAAAAGGAAGTTTTTTTTTCTTCCCCTGGAGCAAAAGGGTAAACTCAGAGTAAGAGCTCACTGCTGCTGTTACAAACCACCATATTCCTAATCCCATCAAAGCAGACATATATTTTAGATATAATGTTAACATATATCATACACATGTAAACATATGCACATACACTTGGATAAATGATGGATGATGTGATACTTGTATTATATGAATTTTAAATGTGTGCTTTATGAAGTTGATCATAAACATAGAAAGAATACAGGCCTGGCACTACATTAATATTTATATATGCATTGTATGGTGTATTGATTTTCCATGAGGAAATGGTCCATAAAAATATGTAGCTGAAAAAAAAGAAGTGCACACTGAGAAAGCACTTGACTTATCCTACAAAAGGGCTGGAGGCTTACAAAATGAATACACATCAAGTCTGGCATTACTTTTGACAGTGTTTTACTACTCCCCTAAAATCTTTCTCAACAAAGTGTTGAAATTATTTATTTGTGTTTAACACTTCGAATTGTTTTGATACCCATTTAATTAAAAAAAAGTATCCCTTTGGAATGAATGAATTAATGGCAGTGAAGTAGGAACTGTACTCTACTGTGGTCTTTTCAATGACTCCTTGAAATCTGACTTCAAAGGTAATATCTCTGTTGTTAATTACCGTATTTCAGGTTTTTAAATTTTGGAATCACCAATATTGTTTTGTTATACAGTCCCAGGTTTATATCTACAGTTAATTAATGCAGCATTTTCTAGGTGGTATCAGTGCCCCAGGAAACGAGGAAACCTTGCTCATTTATATCTGCTCGATCCTGTTGGTGTACTCAGCCCTGGTAACAACTAGCTAATGACAAAGATTCGCTCACACCAACAACCACTGTTATCTGGCCTATGTGGCTAAAATAATACTGTGAAAAATTATATTTACTCCTAATCTGAGACCTTCAAATTCTGTCCCTACAGTAGGTACAGACATTATGAACATGCACAAAGAACCTTCTTTTACATTTCTGAATGTTTTAACATAGACTGCTTTCATTTATATTAATAATAGGTTGATTACTTTCTGTCTTCTCCGCTCTCCCTTTTAGCTGAAGTAAAATGAAAATAAATATAAATGCAACTGCTGTGTCTTTTCAAATACAGGTTGCAAGGTCATTTTCAACAACTTGCAATACCTTACGAGCACATATGGACAACTTTCATTTCTTTTGTGCACATTTTAACAAATGTTTTTTTTTCCTTATGAATAAGGAGTCTTGGTTGAAGGAATGAAGGAATAAACATGTTGAATGCATGCACAACATTTTAAAGGTATCATATCACTAGGATTTAGTAATTATTCAAGACTCCCTTCATGAATATGGTAATGTGGACTGAAATGCTTCATTGAATTGTAATTTCTGCATGCACGTCTACTAAGGAAAAATCAATCATGAAAAGAAGCAAATGTGTCATAACCTTTAGACCCACTTGAGAATGCTCTTAAGAGTTATATCTATTCGTGTGTAAGTTACTGTGCTTCCCCAAAATGCAATAAAATTTAATTCATGTCTTCATTCAGAAAAGCTTGACTCTTAGAGAAATGCATCTACGTACTGTATAAAAGGAAGAATCAGCATAAAGTATTGATCTGTACATTTTTAAATTACCTTCCTAAAGTAGCAAAATGCCTCTATTTTCCAGCAAATTATTGTCATCAATTGATCTCTCCTTTTTAACATTCACAACTGAACATATTTTAAACATTCTCTCATTTAACTTTAACAAGCTATGAGCTACTGTAGAATAGTTTACAACAAAATTCTATTGATTCAAAATGACCACCATGCTTTATAATTAGTCCCAGCACAAAAGGGCAGATCACCTTGTAACCTTGTAAAAGATTGAGAATAAACATCATGATTTAGGCATTTATTGAAATGTCTTTAAATACCTCTGCATTACCCTGTTATATTCTGCAGCATGCTTTTCCGGTAATATTTTCCTGCCCTTTCTCTACAAGAGGCAACATAACTACAACCCTTTCTAACAATACAAAAAAATAAAGTCAAACAAAGATCCTTTCGTCAATTACAATTTCTGAAGCATCAGTTTAATCCTCTACAGTATACTGTATGTCACACAAACTATTGCATGAGCAATGTGCTGAATCATGTCTTCTTTATTAATGCATTAAAAAAAAAATAACACCTATGAAAGCACTTAAAAGAGTTTCCCACAATTATTAATCTGGCAGAACAGTCAGATTATACAGTAGATGTGCTCTGCTGCAGATAAATGTGCAAAACCATAATATACAGCAATACAAAAACAGACAACTTAAGCTCAATTTAAACACAAAGGTATGATGCAATATTCAATACACAGGAATCCAAAAAAAGACAGGTAAAAATATTTTGTTTAAGACAGAGAAGATATTTTTTACTCCTCACTAAGACAATTTCAATTCTATACAAAAACTTTTGAGTACTCTCCTTAGGCAAAGAAATGTGCTAAGTGTTGCCTCATAGATTTCAAAGAATGAGTGAATGGTTTACTCTTCTTGAAGACTGAGTTTCCATGGTAACAGGGATTTATTTCATCTTCCCTACAAAGGTAGTTAAACAGAAAGCTATAGATGCAAGAAAGACAAGTCACACAGTCACAGAGGGATCATACCACTGATAGGAGGGCAAAGATTCAATATGTTGGCTTACTCTCTCTCAGACTGTTCAAAGTTTTACTGTCTGATATTTCCTCAACATATTTGGAAAATTAATATAAAATATAAATCTACTTTATGTCCATAAATCAGATAAACCATGTAGGATTAGGGCTGGCTTGAGCTCACCAAAGAAAAAAAAACTACACTGAATGTCACAGCATGAAATAGGCATTGCAATTAAAATCTGCTAAATGAACTTACTGTAGCAGCATGATAAATTTACTGTGGTACAATAAATGAACTACAACAGTGCATACCAATCCAGGAAAGGTACACACAGTACTCCCAAAATGCTATATTGCAGCACAGTAACAGAAGAACAGTACTTTCAAAGTCCTGATTAAAATCAATAAGGTGGTCAGATGACAGGAGATACACTACGACAAGGCCTGTGGAATGAGCTAATTTGTATTGAATGCTTGAACACAGACACTGACAAAACTTGTTAATAAAACAGGTATGATTCCATGTGCACAAGTACGATTCCATGAGTGAAAAAAATAAACAAGTCTTCTCACAGACACGGTATACTGTAGGAACACTCATAAAACGTATACTCCTTCTTCATGTTTTATGCACCTATAATGCTCATGTAATGATCTAAAACAAAATCGTGACTGAAGGTGTGAATGTAGTTTTAAACACCTGAATCACATACACCCAACAGTAAAGACCTGATTCCAGTTCTTGTGATAGGAAGCTTGTAATGGTGAAAACCTGTGCTTTCTTGGATAAAAGGGTAACATGATAAACTCTACAGTCACAGACAGTTTGAAGGGGAAGATGAATTGTATGAAAATCACAAGGCACTCTTCTGAAATGAGAAGATTGTGGTTTAAAACATTCTTCTATTAATGTACTGTATTAACACATAATGTAAATGACTATTATTTGTATTTAATTTTAGGTGATACTGATGCATTAATTTCACTAAAATACAAGACTAAGCAGCAAGACACTGTGAAATTAATACAATTACGAGCATCCGTGAATCCTCATATATTTAACTGTTTAAAATGCATAGTGTATGCAACTACATTTGTATGATATTAAGATTGTGAAACACTATGGATGTTTGTTTTATCAGCAAACGAACCATGCATACAGGACACAGTGTGAGAGAAAAATGGAAATATTTGTTTTTCCTTAGATCTTTAAGCAGAGTTTTTAGTATTGTGACTTTCTGATAATTTAATGAGAATCATGTGCATTTTTTTATTTGAAATTGGAAGTTTTTACATGTAACAGAATGGCAGGCAACATTTCTGTACATAAGTTTTATTATGGAGTTTATCAAGAAAGGCATGCTTCTTTGAATAGAATCCTTACAGTTGTATTTTTCCTAAACAAAATTATTAACCAGGAATTATTACTAAGGGCCAGTGGGTATTGCATTGTAAATGTCTAAGGCATACAGCACTGGAGACGTTCCATTAATTTGTGCCCCTTAGACTAAGAAAGTAAACAGGAAAGAACTGGAATTAGAGCTTTCAGTGTTCACAGATGGGAAGATCTGAGGTGAACAAACGGCTCACAGTCGACTCGCCCCAAAACCCTCCCTCCCCACCAGTTTACTCCCACAGTTGCATCTGTCTCCTGCTTTCATGAACTTGGCAGTGCCCTGCGAGCCAAACACCAGAAACATTTAACTATGTTATGCAGTCAAAATCCAGGATTAAAACTTTTAAGGAGTAATAATTACACTTTAACTAGCACTTACACTTTAACTAGAGCTTAGCATTTTATAATAGGCCTAAGTAACACATTATTTATTATTCTAAAAGCTTAGCATTTTTTAGGAAATACACTTTAAATTAATGTCATTGCTAAAACAAAACTCTTAGAACACTATGTATACAGACATAAAAAAACGTTGACACCTTAAATCTGAAACAAGACTTATTTGGCGAACTATATTGTTAGTTACCAATATCTAGTCAGTATTATAAAATATATCTTTTTTAACTGAAAGGTCCATTTAACCCTTGCATTTTGTAATATTTCCGCCAGGATTCCAATATGTTCAAAATGTACTAGAACAATGCATTTATATTTGCATGAAACAACAGGTGGTATTTCTCCCTGGAGAATAGTGCAAGCATATGCCATCTGAAATTTAATTTAATGTGCTGACGTTACACCACAGATGAACTGACATCTTGGCTTGTGACATCACCAACAGCAACAACTTTTCAAACGTTATCAAAAAGTATCAGCAAAAGAATATCAATAAAAAACTGAAGGTTTAGCTTACTTTACCTCTAGTCTCTAACCTTAAATCAAAAAATGTCTCTTTGATTCGTATCTATGTTTTTTTACATTTCTTATTTTCTTTTCTTGTGTTATCTGTTTTCACAAAGTGTCCACTGGGAATTTTCTCCACTCATACTGAAAGACATTGTGTCCTGAATGTGTTTGCACAATAAAACATCTTCACATTGTGAAACATAATTGGTAGTATTTATATTGCAAAAATATCCTGGGGTTTTGTTGTGTTAATGACTAAATGTATTTTAAATGGTTTCACTAGTGAGGCATACAACTGTGAAAACATGGAGTTCTGTCCATCTTTTCTGCTGAAAGTTGAATAAGCCCACTCACTGTCCCTTATGGAATATACTGTACAGTATGTTTCAATACTTCTGGTTCATATGTATATACAGTGTATACAGCATGTATAAAGATGTAAAGTAAAGTCGAAACTCAGTGGGTCACCAGGCTAGAGTTTATCTCAGTTTCTGCAGCATGATGTAGAGTGCTGAATTTTCCCAATTGGGACACTATTCCATTACTGTACAACAGTGGTGTGTGGAGATGGGGCAAACCCATAATCTTCATAAGAGCATCTAAAATCTTAACCACTAATCTACTCTTTCACCAGGGAACACCGCACTAAAATACCATAATTACAAGGATGCACACAACAAAAGCAAACTGTATTTTATCGAAAATAAAAATATGCATATATTAGGTCATACTTTTATTTTATAGAATAACTGTAGAACAATTTGGTGTTAAAATCTAATTTGCAGATAATTACTGAAGGCATACAATTTTTATTTTTAGTTAAAACAATATCAACCAGTAGATAAATACTTGAAAGGGCACTTTATTTTCCAAATGCCAATTAACAACATTAATGGTACAATTTTCCCTTCATAGTTCATTAGCTATTTTCATAACTTCATAAATATACACAGTACTAATATATTGCTACCTGTACTATTGGCATTACTGCTGATACTGGTGTTGTGTTATTACTTATACTGGTACTGCTTTTAACATTATGAAGAACAGAATAAACATCTGAAATATTCAGGTTCCAAAAAACAAATGAGAAAAATCACTAACCTCTGCCATTTTAGAGAGTTCCATCCAGTCAGACTTGTTATAACTGCACATAATACTGGCGATAAGAATCTGAAAAAGGAGAAAATGGGAAGGTAAATAACAATGACTGATTTGTTTCAGTCTATCACACCTTACGGAATTAAACAATAGAGTCGATTTTATGGTGAAAAACGTTTACAATTCAGCTCGTTTCAACACATTCGAAAATGGATCTGAAAGCCATTATCTAGTCTTTAAAAAGACCAGTCTCATCCTTCCTCACTCAAAGTCACAAAATCAATATTTATAATTTACAGGATCAAGACAAATCCACTGGTGTGCAAGCATTATTAAAACAATAAAAACATCAAAGTGATGGTATTAGTTAAGAGCCCTTTTGTGGTATCACTGGATTAGGTAGGACTATTTTCATTTTTCTCCTCTAGACACTCAATAATCTTGCCATAAAAAAGAAAATATAGAACCTTCTTCTTCTTATTGCTTCGGTTTTAAGTAATCACAAGAATGAATAGACTTCAATATATATATACCATAAGTGTAATTCACAAAGGATACAAAATGTCTCTGGTTGGAAAGCCGGAAATTACCAAGCAGGTTGGTGTTTGATTTTACAACTTACTTCACAACTCTGTAAAGCCTGGATTGGTTCATGCTCTACATCCACAGCAGTTTCTAATAAATTATAAATATTGATTCAATGCAGTCGAGGTAGAAATGAATAGCAAACAATGTGAACATTTTCTACCCTGAAGGACGACAAATTTTCAATTGTTATAATAATGTACCTCCGATATTTAAATGACCTTATCCAACTATAGTTCCCCTTGCAAACATGTACTGGCTTCTGCTGCAAAGGTTTACAGACCTGTGAACCTTTATGTCTATAGTACTTCTCATAAAAATATGCAAAATAATCACTGCTTAGAGCATACCAACCATACCACCAGCAAAAAAGAAAAAGGAAATATTAAACATGCAGGACATACATTTTCCCCAGAAGAAATGCCAAGTTTGTACTCAACAAAAATTAACTGGCTAACAGCATATCCAAAATTGGTTAGTTCAAGCCCTTTTCTCCTTGGTGAAGGATTGAGTTAGTACTCTAGCTATGGAGGCTGTGCATGAAACTTACTGTCTGTGGCACAATGGTGGAAAAGGCTGACACCATTGTTTGTGCCTTTTTCCTATTGAAAAATTGGGTTCACTGGCCTAGTAATGTAGTTGCGGTGCCGTGATGGAAAGCAATATCATCACAATACCTCTTTTACTTCATTTGCACACATCAAAAGGGATTCATGAAAAATCTGATGATAGTAAATGTCTTTTACCAGCACTCAAAATACTGATTACTCAGTTCCTTACGGTAATAACACAGGCTTGGCAATTGGAATTTTTTGTTTATATTCCACATTTATATAACGTGTAGGTGTCTGATGTAATACTATTCAATCACACTTAATTGAATGTATTTAAGCGCAGTTGTACATTACCTTACCATACAAAGAAGTATTGCAGTGAAATATGGAAGCAGTCTTTAATTTCTGATATATTATTTTAATTTCTGATCAATTAAAGGCAGGTACAACTCACCTGACATAGTTAAAGTTCTTATCTGGAAAAACAGGTTTATTAATTCTTGCAAGTCTTTTTTTTTCAGCAGGTACTATTGAACTGAAATATGATAATTTATCACTTTCTGATCAGGACACAACACAAGCACTTCAACATAAGAAACCAAGCAAGTAAAAAGAGTAAAGCTTTGTGAAATTATGCTGCTCTCATGCTTGCTAAACTGGATTAAACAATACTGTAATGTGTGTGATTACCCACTACTATTCTTTTGTATAGCATGACAAAAACAAAGTATGAAGACAGCTGTAATTTCCTACTGTACATGTCCCTACACCGAACAATAATAATTGTGAAGCCTTAGTATTAATAAAGATTTCACACATTTTTTCTAAAAATGTTAAGGTGACCAGCTGGGACCATCTCAGCAACAGTTACTAAACACTAAACTTATTTTTTCACTATTATGCTTTTTGATAATTTATCTGTCTTTTCTACAAGCTTCTCTCCTAGAATATTCAGTTCCTGAAAGAGATTTCCAGTTTTCTTTGCCTTTCTGTCATATGAATTTGAATTCCACAAGCCATTAGCACAAAACACCTTATCATCTCAGATTTGAACATGCATTTGCATACTAACCTTTATTGGTTGCTTTGGCAGTTGCTAATAATTTTCTGTGACTTTTTAAAAAATGTGCCAGAAAGGCATGATCACCATGTTATTTAACATTCAAGTGGTTTTATGGAGGAGGTAAAAAAGCCACCTCCAGTGTCCATATTGGGCAATATGACCACCAACAATGTTCATATTAAAATCCCCTAAAATGTTATTTTTGTAAAGTTCTTATTCATACAATTCTTATTTACATATGTGAATTTGAGGGTGGCACCGTGGTTGGCATTCCTACCTCGCAGCACTGGGGCCCTGGGTTCAATTCCCAGGGTGCTATCTGTGTGGAGTTTGCATGTTCTCACAAACATGTGAAGGAAGCATGGATTTCCTCCAGTTCTTTGGTTTCATCCAACAGTCCAAAGATAAACTTCTGGTATTTGCTTCTGAGAAACAAATTGGCCCTTGTGTGAGTGTGTGTGTGATTGTGTGTCTGTGGCTGCCTGTGCCCTGCAATGGACAGTCATTCTATGAAGGGTGTAGTCTGTCCTACACACGTTCTTTGCTGAATAGTTCCTCTGTGACCCTGTGACTGGATAAAGTGCTTAGAAAATGGATGGATGCGAATTTGATGGCTAATATACCTAAGGGACAACCAAAGCGAAAAAATATAAATACAATCGAAAGCAAAGCTATATAGAGTAGCATGAAATAAAACATGAAATGGATGCAGTGAGAACAACAGTCTCCCAAAATAGTCCTGGCAGTACTGATTGGAACAGATTCAATTTCAATATACAGTATATGTATGTATTGGTTCAGGTGGGTAGCTGCGTCAGCATGCGTATGTGTATGTATTGTGCTGACTTAGTTTATTCTCACCCTTGCCCTGTCACTTTAAGATTGCATAGGAGTCTCTTTCTACGGATATTCAGTATGGTGCAAAGGAGACAATCTACTTTAAGTGAACATTCACCTCCTTCTGCCCCGTCTTCTTCAAAACCCAAAGCTTTGGTTGCTTCACAATGTTTCAGTATGTGCAATGGGTGTGAAGCATCAGAATACATCAGCACAAACACCTCTCTTTCTTGTAATAACATAAGGTGGCTTTTATGTGGCTCAGGAGGCTGCACAGTGAGGAATTTGTAGACTGCCAGTGTGGCATTAGAGAGTTGTTTGGGAGTGTACAACAATGAGCTAATGTACAATGAACAATGTTCAGAATGCATATTTGTCATGCTTTGCACTAAATGTCTCCTTTAACATCTGTTAATTATGTAATAAATACTCATGTAAGTGCTGTGTGTAATTATACTGTATCTATATATGTATGTATGTACATTATGAACTATGTATACAATCATTATTGGATGTTAAAGAAATTGTGAGTTTACTATTGTAACTTATATACATGCATACTGTACATTATACAGTATAGCTGTGGTGCTCAACTTCAGTCCTCAAGGAGTCCATTCCAGCAGGTCTTAAGGGTCTCTTTAGATCTGCTGTACCTAAAAACTTGGGAAATGTGTTAAACTGCTCCACTTAAAGCAATAATTAGATCAATTAGCTAGTTAAAAGCTCAAGTGGAATGCAAACCTGCAGACACTCTATCTCTCCACAATCCCCCTCCACAGGAGCTGAGCACCCCTGACATCTAATAACTAAATCCTTTTGGGGAAAAATTTTAAACTACACACAAATACTTAACATGGACTGTTTAGAATTAAAAATGTATCTTTCTACCACTTTTAATCAAAAATTAAACTTCAATGCATTGCTTGATAGGTTGATTTATTTTTGTGCTATTATTCATGAGATTCTGCTTCTAAAATAAACACAACCAGACCTTATTGCTCTCATACATTTTAAATTCAATTTTTTTAATATTGGAAGTTTTTTATTGTACTTAATTTTGCTGAACGCGAGGGGAAATTATTCACTGAATGAGTAATGAATTCAGGAGCTACTCTAAGTTTATACACACATGCACATTCATTTTCTGTAATGAATGTGCCTCTTGCCCATGTAAGAGAGTATCACTTGTTTCAGTGTTGTTTCTAACTGTATTCTACCGTGCTGTTACCATGTAGATTTCTGGCACTTGATTCCTTCTGGTGGTGCAGAGAGAAATAAAAATATGCTGTGATTATTAGAGCCCACCCCCGAACATCAAATCCCATTCAGTGAGGGAGTTAACAATTGTAAATCCTGTCATGTCTCTGAGAAGCACAGGAATTATCTTGTTATCAATTTAATAATGGAACATTGAAGTAAGCGATGCCGTCCACCAACACCCGTAACACCACGTCTCCAGGGAAATTCACGGCTGTGGAAACTGTCAATCTCAGCAGATAGGGACATATTAAAAATTGGGGACAATGCACCTTCTCTCCATAAATCTATTCTTTTGGTGCTGGTGTAATAAGAAAATTTTCTGAGACGATAAATGCAATCAATGCAGTATGGCTGACAGCTATGACCTATAAGCCTCACAATTGTTTTTTATTTTTTTTTGTTGTTTTTTTTTATGAATAATTTTAACAAGCAATCTCTGACCTTCACTTTTTTTGTGGCATGCATTCAAATCAGCTTGGCCCTATTTTCTCCAAAGCTGTAAGAATGTTGCACTTCAGGCAAATGAAGTGTGTGGAATAACAGGGCACAGTGACCCTGGAGTCTGTCATGTGTTGACAAAAGTAATAATGGAAATAATCATTCCTGGCACAAAACAACATCCTGTGCTATAGACTAACAGTAACCAGCATTGTGAACAGAGGAAAAGCACTGAACTCTTTTGTGTTTAAATTAAATACATCTGAGAAACAGCACTTAGGCTGTAATTTATTTTAAAACCATACCACCTTGTTCACATTCAACTTTGATCTGCAAAGAGGTTGTAAAGTACATAATATTGTAATAAAGATTTCAACAGAGCCAGAGCTTTGATCTGCAGTGCAGTATGTTTCTACACTGTCACATCACTAATGCTAGCAAACACAATACAACATTACTGCTCCTTTTAACTGCCCTTTCAGGTGTAATATGCTGACCTTGCAAAAGCAATCCTTTGATACTTCCTCATGTTATCCTGTTTTCAAAATGTTTTATTTTTCAAAAAAATGTACCAAAACGAGAAAGAAAAACAATCTCTACAGAATTTAAAATACCAATAAAGGCAATAGCTCAGATGTATTGTAAAAGCCATGCTCTAGGGCATGATAAAGGCATGCATTTAAAGCTAATGCATCCAGCACAAAACTTATTTTACGAGCAAAGCAAGGTCGGACGAAATCTCACCTTCAACTGAGTTGTTTCAAAAACCAAAATTCCAATTTGTCAAAACAAATTGTAATAAGTATGTATTTATTAAGAAAAAAAAAGGTTTTGATTGCTTTCACTGTCTAACCAGAATTATTTAGGTTTACAAAGTTTAAATCCAGTAGATCATGCTCTACTGTATATTAACAATTAATACAAAACTGGAAAGCTATTTCCAAAAGTGAAAAAGCGGCCTATTTAGGTTACAGTTATATGTTTTAAATCATGTGTTCCTATACAGAATGTACTTCAAGAAATCCTTAAACAGCATTGTAATGAGGTAGAAATGATTCTAAACATTGACATATTACTCTTTACCGGAAAGGATATGATGTTATTAACTATTGGATTGAAAACTGAGGATTGACTGTTTCCATCTCTAGGGCAACAATAATTAATCATACGTTCTTAAATAAAAAGAACATGATAAACTTAATGAATATTTAGCCAGTATTAATGAGCATGATCAAACAACATAACCTGGGATAAATCTATATTTTAATTATTTTAATCAAAGTTTACACTGAAATTAATACAATATTTAATGACTGAACAATTGCTGATCTTTAGCACATTAAAGTTAAAAAGAGTTCAAATGTAAATATATTGAGTCCTACTCTATGTCTTTATAGTGGTCACGTTTAATTAAATATTTCTGCTTCAGAAACAGAACCAATAATTGATAACCAATAATCAGCACCAGGCAAATGTGGAAGGAAAGCAAACTTACATGTTGTGGGAAATCTGTTTTCAGTTCAGTTATACTCTGGCACCAATATGCAGCTGTCTTTTCACTGATGAGCTCAATATTGAGGAAAGAGCCTTGTCCAGGACCAAAGACATGGCCTGAGGTAGTTCCACGTACAATTCTAGGAGAAACATTGGTGACCAAGTCCTGTGAAAAAGTAAGAAAAAAAACTTTAGTCTTTGCAATATGCTGAACAACATGCTGCAGATTCCTTTTCCTGAATTCAAAATGATCTCATTACAGTATATACTGTACCTTATTATCTACAAAGCTTCAAATGTAAATACCACTGCTTGATTATTAAATGTAGTTCTCTGTCGAGGTAATGAAACCCTCGAACTGGGCAAATATTACTAATATATTGTAGTTTGATAAAATAGTATAAAGAGAAAATCATCATCCTATTTTTATTTACTGTACATGACATGAACCCAATAACTATTTTATTTTATTAGGAACTACAGTATGAAGCAAAGTTCATATTTTATTACATCTGAAGGAACATTATTTTCAATATAAGCCAGGGAAAATATGATATAGTAAGAGAAAAATAATTAAATAAGTAAATTACTGTATGAAATAAGTGGAGAATTAATGTTTCAGTTTGAATGTCTTTCACATCGGTGAGCAGGACGTTCACCTGCAAAAATGGTAAAACTCTCATCCTATAACAGTGAAACAGTCTATATTTTGTGAAAAAAAGACAACAGAAATTGTTGGCAAATGTTTCCTTGTTGGCAAATCCTGCCAGTTCATGGTAATATCCACTAGTAATTACATTCTTTTGATGTTTAAATTACAAAGATCTTTCCATGTACAGCTACAGTATAGTATAAACACATTAGGAAATGAAAGCCAGCAAAAAAGCTTAATGTTTTACAAACCTTATAATGGTTCTGGGAAAGTAAAAAAAGGGATATTCCAGTAAAAGTAAAGACTCCTGTAACCCTGCAAGGGAAACATTTTCTGCCTGTGCCATTCAGGTCCATTTTATCTGACAATAATATTTTTATATTAAATATTGGTATTCTTTTGAAAGCAACAGATCCCATCAGGAAAGGAAGTAGATAAGTAAAAAATATTATACTGTACATTCTAATCCCTAGTTATTTTTAAAGGTAACATTTTTTACACTTTAATATTAAAGCATGTATTAATACATTATATAAATTATCTTAATTTATATATAAATCTTCCTCTGACAACTTGAAATATTTTTTTCATGTTTAAATTGTTCAAAAAGATGTACGCGAAAGATGTAGTGACATTTTTGGTCTTCTCTTATATGATAAAACCATGGGCCATTAGTATATAGTAATTAAGAACAATTTGCATATTTTAATTAAGAACTACCCCATACAAAACAATTAAGATAATAGCATACTAACTCGATTTCATAACATTTGGACATTTTTCCAACTAGCTAGACAAGAAACCTTAATTAGCACTAATTAGGCCTAATCTGCATACATTTGATAAGGCATACCATTGCCACAATATAAGATTATTTATCCCTTAATCTGCCAAATGCTACTGTTCTAGGAATAAAGGAGGGTTTCACACTCCAAGTGAATTTTCTATGATTTCACATTTCTGTCACTGTCACATCTGCTATCTTCTTAGTCAATGCCACAGTAGGTTTAAACTGTCTTAAGAATGTTCTTGTATCCACAGGGTAATATATCAAGAGTTTAATTCCACTTTTAAGAAATCATTTAAGTGGGAAGAAAGGTACTAGTATTATGAAAGAAAATATGTCACAGAATATTTAAAAGTTAGCTTTGGTAAAAGAGCTATTAATAACATAAATACACAAAATGGAGGCACATTTTATTGTAACCATGGTTTCATCATGAAACATGGATTGTTTGGTGGTTTATCAATAAGAAATGACAAGTGGTTAGCTCACTTTTCTGATTATAAGGGCTTTTCAAAGCATTTGAAATATTCCTGTAAAAAAGTCACGTAAAAGATCAGCTTTCACAGGATGTTAAATTTAAGAGATAACAGAGTGTTATGTAAGCTTCACAGTATGCTGAGAAAAACTACATAATTTTTATATGTATCTTTTACATTTGTACATTTCCTGAAAAGACAAAAAAGGTGTTGCAAACTAAAGTACAAAGGTATTTAACATTGTACATTGGAATTTAACTGGTATAAAATCAGATTTCGATTATAAGTAGATGTTAAACACACCCATAATAAATATGAAGACTTGACATTCAGTCAATACAACCGAGAAAAGAGAACACCAACACCAAATATTTTTGTGGACTTTGTGGTAAATCATGCAGAACATTGCAGAGCAATTGCTGGAGTATTTAATAATTCCACTTCTTCTTGAGGATATTAATGTATTATGCAGCAATGACTTAAAAAAGTCTATACCTAATACCAAAGCCATAGAGCATGGTTGTTGTTCCATATCTCCAGTTAAATCACAATTCTGGTCTTTAATTATGAATTTTCTTTTTGTTGCAGATATTAACAGATACAGTCACTCAAAAAAATCAAGCTTTCACCATGTTCTAAGTACTGTACATTAGAAACTTCATTGAGCATGCAAGCATAATTGCACATTGGTTAGCATTCTTTTTAATAGCTCTACTAGCACATATTTGTACTTTTAATAAAAATGCGCATTTCTAGTCCTGCTGGAAATGATTTACACAGGTAAAACAGAGGAACTGCACCTTTCAACCCTTAATAAACCACATGCCAGTTATCATTTAAAGATGTTTTGGAAACATACTTTCACATTTGACATTAGCATCTTGTGCAATGTCCACCGAAAACATGCTACAACTGAAAACATAGTATTAAGCATGGAGCAGGGATTACGGATTGGGATTCATAAATGGGAGGCTGTGGACTCACATCCTGTATGGAGCAAAGCTGTTGTACCTTTAAGAAAGATAATTCACTCAGTAAACAGTGCATCAGATTATTATTTGTTATCATTGTAACAAATTACAATTGAGCCACTTTGGATAAAATAACCTGTAAAATAAAGTTAAATTAAAAAATACATATTAGGAATAAATGAGTCCATTTGGCATTGTCCACAACACTATACAGTATCACATCATTCTTTCGAGAGTTTTGCACCCCAGTTTCCAACCCTGGGAATTGCTCCTTATTCAGCATAGCCTTGCCAGCAGTTACAGATCTCATTGAATGTTCCACCACTTACAGTTATTTACATTCTAAACAATTAAAGAAATCTAAAAAACATATTTTTAAATATATACATTTTGAAATCTCATGTACCATTGCAGAAAATTAAAATGTTTTTTTCTTAAGAAGTCTGTTTGATATGTTACATAACAGGAACACAAAATATGTCAATCTGGTACCTTGAAATAAGTTAGACATTTCTGTCTACTGAATAGCTCTTGGAATATGATTCTGAATTGTGAAAATAGACATAGCCCTTTTTAATAGACTTGAGGTACCCTCCAGTAAGACGACAGTGGTGAATTGAAACAGGCATCCCAGGGGCTATAGGGCAAATATGCAAGTCTGTATTTAATGAAGTTGTGACCCAGGAACATTTAGCTCATGGCATTATTTATTATCAGGACATTTCTGTACAAGAGTTTTAATATTAAACAACTGGAAACCATGAAATTGCCCAAAGGGACAGAAATGGCTTACTATAAAAACACAGGTGCCGCTCTCCGTAGCAAAAGATAAGGGCTTCTTGTATTTTGTGACACAAATAAATTGTATTCAGTAGAAATTGCCTTGCTAGACATGCACCACATATAAAAAGGATAGGAGCATTATTGTGCACATTTACAAATATTTTCATGGAAAGCAGGAGGTGGATTAAAATGTTCACACAGGAAATGAAGCATGCTTTTTATGTGGCCTTGGTACTATAGGAGTTACCCTTTCAAATCCTTTTCAACATAATGCCTATGAAGGACTTCCAGCTGTTAGTAAATAACACTATCCCCCAGTCCAATAACATGCTGTAACCTGTCAAAAAACAATCTTGCTCTATGCATTCTGTTTCACGCATGTTCAGATTTGGTAACAGCTACTTGTATGTTTTTAAGCTAACAGGGTTTTATCACGGCTGCACAGACCCTTAATCCTTCTATACAGCACATAACCTTTTGAAAGAGGACAGAGAAGATAAATAGCAATCAAATTTTGTGTATTATAGCACAGTACATACTGAGTCAGCCTCTGATTTGTTGACTTAAAGTCATATTTTAAGTAATTATTATACAACGGTTACACGGTTGTTGCTTCGTAGACCTTATCATACCAAATCCTTATTTAAATTTCACTACACTTCAAATTCCACTGAAGAACCACTATTTTTAAGCTGACACAGAAAATCATTCAGCTAGTATTATCTTCTTGACTACAACTGTCATTATCCTGTGAGGCTGAGGTTGGTGGCTATGAATGTTAAGTGAATAAATCTGCTTATTTCATTGTTAGTTTAAATGCATCTCATTTAAAAAAAGTATGTTTGTCACATTTAAAGAGATGAGGCATTGTGGCTCCTTCTCATCTCCTCAGATGCTTCCCTTTTTTTCTCTTTCTGGTAAGGTCAAGTACATATAGAGGGATTGAGATAATCTCAAATACTCTGCCACAAGCTAGCGCTAACTCTACATCAAATGTTTTACTACTCTGAAGTAGAACTGAGTGTTTTCTATAATTCTGTTCTTTTGAAAGGCATACAGAATACGCACGAAAAAAAAAATCCACCAGGCTTCTCTCTGTCTTGTAACTCTCCTCTAATAAGAGGTATAAATTAGGCTTGTGTTTTGTTTTGAATTTGGGAGGGATGAGATTAGTGACCTCCATTTTGATCAGCTTGTTTTAGATCCTTCACTTGGCATTTTGTGCAGTATTTTATTTTTTACTGATAGTAGAGTATTCTCAAATAATGGGTATTTTTTTAAGTGTTTCCCCAAGCAAGTGTAAATGAAAATAATCATGCACAAATGCAATCCTGAATTTTATTACATATTTTTACCACGTTCCAAATTGCCTTCCTTCTTTTAATTCTTCTCAAAACAGGCTCAGAAAAGTCCCTTAATCACCAGAAATGGTTACCTCTAAAGTATAAGGTATTACCTGCAATTATGTTTTGTTTCATCTTGTCTGTGTTAAAAATC